TGTCTCTGTCTCTCTGTCTCTCTGTCTCTGTCTCTCTGTCTCTGTCTCTCTGTCTCTGTCTCTGTCTCTCTGTCTCTCTGTCTCTGTCTCTCTGTCTCTGTCTCTCTGTCTCTGTCTCTCTGTCTCTGTCTGTCTGTCTCTGTGTCTCTGTCTCTCTGTCTCTGTCTCTCTGTCTGTCTCTGTCTCTGTCTCTTTCTGTGGCTGTCTCTCTGTCTGTCTGTCTCTCTCTCCCTCCCTTCCCTTGGGTCCAGACACCATAGTTTTTGGCTTTCAATTCTATTTCATTCAAGTCTGCCGGGACTCCGGGCAACAGCCTTGAGGCACGCGGCCTCAGGTGCAGACACTCACAGCTCCCCTGTGATTCGCTTTCAGGTCCACGAGATCTTGAAGCGCACAGCCTGCTCCCGAGCCAACAACACGATGGGTAAGTGCGGCCCCCTCCCCGGTGCCCCCCACCCCCCCGCCGGGGCCACAGCCCAAAGGAACACTGTCGTTCAGGCTACAACAGAAGTATGAATAGGAGGATCGCAGTCCAAGCCGGGTGGGGCAAAAAGCAAGATGCTATTTTAAAGTAAGGAAAGCGGCCAGGGGCCAGCTGCTCACGCCTGTAATCCCAGCTGCTCGGGAGGCTGAGACAGGAGAGCCCAGACCCCTCTGAGAGAGACGGACCTCCCATGAACGGGTAATGAGCTGGGATAGAGTCGTGGCTCAGGTGGAGCTGGTACCTGGGCGGTGCTACAGAGCTGCCCAACCGGTCTCATTCCCGGCTACTTCGTGGAGTTGCTTTGAATTCCGTGATCCGATGAGGGATGAGGGTTTTACAAGAGCTTGAGGTTCCCCGCCCGAAAACAGTCTCCCAGTGGCAGGCGCTGGTGGCTCCCGCCTGTCATCCCGGCCACTCAGGAGGCCGAGATCTGAGGATCAGGGTTCAAAGCCAGCCTGGGCAGGAAAGGCCGTGAGACTCTGATCTCCAAGGAACCACCAGAAAACTAGACGTGGTGCTGTGGCTCAAGCGGTAGAGCGCCAGCCTGGAGCCGAAGAGCTGAGGGACAGCGCCCAGGCCCAGAGTTCAAGCTCCAGGGCTGGAACACACACACACACACACACACACACACACACACACACACACACACACATACACACACATGTTTTAATGTAGGTCCCAAGGAACTATTGGGAGTGTCAGGAATTCGGGTCTTGGGTTTCACACTGGAAGAAGATGGCTCACCACCCCCACCAGGCCACGCCCAGAGTTGGACTTGTCAGGAGCGGGTCTAGAACCCATGTACTCTGGCCACAGTTATTCCCCGCTCCCTCTCTGCCTTTGAGAGGCTGTGGGGGGGGTAGAGTTGGCATGAGCCTTCATAATGTCTGCGGATCGTACGGCAGTGGCCGGTGACAGACTCACGTTGTGACCATGGGCCCATGAACTCTGCCCCTCAGCCAGGGAAAGCCCGAAACTGGGTTCCCCTCGGCTTGTAGAACTCAAGCCCCGGCTCAGCCCCGCGACACACTTACCACAGGTCGGAAACGGCACCGGCCCGGGAAGTGCGCGTGACAATGGGAATCTTAGATTTTACTGTCCTCCTCTCTGCCCTTATTTGTTTCGTTGCGTGTTTGGTGCTGGTGCTGGGATTTGAACTCAGGGCCTGAGTTCAAAGCCACTTCTGGCTTTTTCTGAGTGGTTCATGGGAGAAGATCAGAGTCTCTCAGACTTTCCGACCCGGGCTGGCCTTGAACTGTGATCCTCAGATCTCAGCCTCCCGAGTAGCTGGGATGACAGGCGGGAGCCACTGGCCTCCTGCTCTTGTAAAAGGCAGATGAACAGTGTAAATGGCTTTCGTTGGCTTCAATGCCCCCCTGAGTTCTGGGGCCTCATAGAAAGAAGAGAAGAGGGCAGGACTGTTCCGGCATTGTAGGTGTTTTCACTGATGCTTAACCGTGGCTCGCCTTCCGTGGGCATCTTTTTTTTTTTTTTTTGGGGTCTGGCCGTGGGGCCTGAACTCTGGGCCTGGGCGCTGTCCCTCAGCTCCTCAGCTCAAGGCTAGCGCTCTACCACTTGAGCCACAGCGCCACTTCCGGCTTTTTTCTTTTTGCTTATGTGG